TTCATATGTGCCAACTGTTGTATAACACAACTTCTGAGATACCAGGAACACTCATTAGAGAAAAAAAAATCAACAAGCACAATTGAAGCTCGTTGGAGCTCCTTTGAAACTTAAGCTAATAATATCATAAGCGTGTAGCTTGCAATTTCCATACCATAACTTGTTCAATATGTCGATTTGATCATGGAGCTGTCACAAAGATCTTAAGTCGGACCATTACTCTTCCTTACATATACAGTTAAAAGATATGGAATCTTTATCCTCTGTGCTGGTAATTTGGCTTCTCTGGAAAACTTAAGATCTGTTTTTTGATGCATAATATGAAACATGCTTGGTCGAGGAAAAAAAACGAGCACAACACGACGTCATTACTCCTGTGTGAGACGGAATCTGCTGTATTCTGTTTGCCACAAATAACGTGGTCATAACGCACTTCTTTAAAATGTTGATTAAATGTTGCATGTCAGATGCACAGTCGTGATTCAATCCAGAATTTCGGTGCTCATTGCTTTAGTTATCTCCCAAAATACCATCAAGGTCACGTAAAAACTGCACAACCAACAAAAATGTAATCTTTTTACCAAATGAACTGAAATCATTCAAATGTGTGTAGCAGCAGGGCATTGCTCCCACTATACTCCACAGGCTTTTGTTTAAAAGTACCAGAGAGTATGGGACAAAATAAAACCAAACTCAACTCCAAAAGAGGACTAAGGAAGTGTGATCACATTTGGAATGGGTTAGTCATGGAAAAAAATATGGCCTCTGGTCATTAAGGTGAAATATCAAAGTGCTTGACATGAATTAGTGGAGATATTAATGAAATGCCATCCAGTATCAAAACAAGCTCGACATTTTTGCAGTTGGCTGCTCTGAAAGGCAAATTCTTCACATTATTTATATGTTTATATAAGATCTCTTCAAAGGCTTGGGAAGGGGGAAAATACTGTTGTCTTTCTGACCTAATATTTTAGAGCCACATTTGACTCTGTCCTTGCAGTGCTGGGGAATGCTTGCATACATTCCTTCCACGTCTCATGTCCATGCTATTTTCTTTGCAGCTTTATACGGCTATCTAACAAGCTAATGGTTTTCCAGCTTCACAGCGTAGCCCTTCAAAGGGCCGCGCAGGGTGACAGGGAATATCTGATGTAATTTCTGTGTTGATAAATGAGAAGCTGAGTTTCCAGGTTGCAAGGCCTATGGCCGCAATTCAGTTTGAGCGGGGCCAGGAAGGGCACCTTTCTTTGGCTGCCAGGTGGCCCGGGGCCAAGCCTGTGGAGGAGCCGAGCAGTCTGCACCCAGTAACTGGAACGTGGACTGGAGTGCCGGAACAGACCCCTGTCTCTTTCTCTCTCACAGAAGTACACACTCATACACAAACATACACAAGCACTCACACTCAATGAAGTACTTCCTTTTGTGTCTTTAGTTTATCCAAAATCATTAATACATTTCCCATGAGGCCAGGAGAGCCAGACTTGTGACTTAAGGGGTATGAAGTATACTTGTATCAAAAAAAAAAATCCCAAAGTCCTCTCTAATGCCACTAAAGAGCAAAGTCAAGCCACTGACTAATTCCTGGACCAATCAAGGTGCATTACCTGCAAAGAAAAGTTGGGTCTAATAGCGAAGCAATACGTGAAGCGGCGCACAATGCCAGGACAGCTGGCAGACGGACCCATGTGGATGGAACAAACAAAGTGGGATGGCCAGGATTCTGGTGAGGTTGTCTGACTTGATGGTGAGACACCCACATCCACAAAGTCAGCCTTCCTATGACCTCAGTTTATGAGGGCGAACAACAGGATGGCTCTGTCTTAACAATGTGTGCTGCACTGTACACATGCGGCTCTTGATGCCACAATGTATTTTAGGTTGTAAGAGATACTCCTGCCTTCACACGCCTGGGTTATGATGGAACATGTCACAAACAAGAGCAGTGTGGTCAACTTTGTTCAGTCTGTGAGACAAAAAAAAAAAAACACAAACGCGACTGAGAAAGGCAAAGGATCACTTTCATAAAGTGCCTTGCGTAAGGCTACCAAACCAAGCCAAGAGAAATATCACCTCAATTGCATTAATTAGGGCCCAACCAAGTCGACGAAAAAACAATGACGTGAGAGCAACTGCATTACTCAGGACAGATCGGAAAAAGTGGGTGCATCCAATCATTCCTCCCTGTAAGCCGTCTCATGGCACTCTCCTGTCTCCATTTCTCTCCATCCATAGATTGACTCCCCAAAATCCTCTGGAAAACCAGTAAATACGCTCTTCCTGTTAAGATCCTCTTTCAAAGTCGCTGTACAGAAAGACGGAGGGCCTATCTTTTTTCTCCAAACAAATAAAATTACGCTGTGCAAAATGACCGAGACCTTTCTACCTTTCTAATCTCTCCGTAAAAACAGCCAAATCACATCTGTCACGGCTAGTCAGCCTTGACTAAAAGGTTTTTTGTCGCTACAATTCTGCTGCTGGGAAAATCATAACCCCAAATTTGATTTGAGTTGTAATGGGAACACAAATGGAGCTCAAATCTGATACGAACTGAACTGGTGAGACTTGAAACTCATACAGGAATCTGCACCGGGGCCTCTCTAGTGCCCTCGTGGGCAGCATTCCTTGATTACTCATCTTCCAATATAAGCCTAGTCGAGTCAGTCAGCCAAACAATGTAAACTTGGGGCGAGGAGTCATGTTTGGCTCTCCAGGAATGAGCTTCTGTTGAGGAAGACGTTCCCACCAAACATCATTTTGTTCAGCGGTTTGGAAGAAGATTCTCAGAATAGCTCTGTAAATGCTAACACGAATGCTTTCCTCTTGATGTGGGTGTATTTTGTGCTATTTTGGACGGCGCTGTGCTTAGGTAAGGGAATGTTTTGTACAGACACAAATATGAGGGTTTTCCTGAGTTATAATTTAATAGCTCATACACGTTGCTCAGTCTTTCTCCATGTGGTGCTGCTGCTAAATTAAGACACCGAACCAAAACAAAAGAAGCTCTTTCTCTTGTAATTCATGCTTTATTCTAATTTATTAAAAACAATTTGTGTGCCTCTGCCAGCAGCTGAGCTCCATGTCTGCCTGAGCTTTTTATGGAAACTAATTATAACGAACTGCAACAAAGCAACAAATAACCAGTTAATTAATGCTGATCTAAACACTAAACGGATTTCCTCCCAGAGGACCTGGAAAAATCAGAAACTCTCCAGCTGTAGAGCACTTGAGGTTGAAGGTTGACCTCTAATACATCAGTGTGCTTTGTGAACAGGATTACAGGGAATTCCCCTTTGAAAATGATAAACAGGCTCATGAAAACATTATTTTTTATCATGAAATAATGTAGAGGGGGGAAAAAAACTACATCTGTTCTCTGTACCTGGTGTCTGCAGTGACTCTGCTCCAGAAACTGATGAGACTTCTGTCTCTGCTGTTGTAGTTGCTGAATAGCAAACTGGAGCTGGTAGCTTCCCTGGGTGGGCTGGTAGCGCTGCTTGGGGTTCACTCCCGTCACCAGGCTATAGGCGCTCTCCATCTGCCCATCCCAAAGGCCCTCCTCATCCTTCAGGGGTCTGTGGCTTCGAGATCAGGGAGAAAGAGAAGTGAATACAAACATGCTCTCGCTTTTAAATCAGCTTTGCAGTTAAGGTCGTCTGTCTAGGAATGTCAGCTCAACATTTTGTTATTGCCCTGTGAAAGAAATTGAATATCTACAAAGGTTTCCCACTGAGGGAAATCACATTATTCTTTAGGGACATAAAGCAAATACGAGTACATTCCAAAATGTCAAACTATTCTTTTAAGTTGTTTAAAGCGGGGTTAATAACTTTCTGCTGCAGCTCGCCCTTTGTCACTATTGATCAACAAACAGTTTAATATCGCAGGGTTAATCCTGCTTTAGGCGTTGCGTGCAGACATGAATAGAAAGAGGGAAGTGGGAGTGTGTGTAATATGAAATAGTTTTACTGCACAAATTGAGAGGTAGGACTGCTCGCGTAATGCTAAAATTATTACGTACAGTATTTGTTTCACTGGGTTAGTAAGGACATCTTCAGAGATTTGTGCTCTGTGCTATGAAAAGGAGACACCACTGGCTCACAGACATCAGCATCCTAAGAGCTGGTAATCACTAGGACTGTAAATCATAAGGTTCATTGATTTTATATTGATTCATTGGACGATGATAGGATGTTTGTTGAAATGTCAACGTCTGCCACGATACGATTCTAATTCAACTCAGGAACCTGTGATCAATACAGGACAATATCATCGCTCCTTCGACACAATCAGTTATGTTTATATGATCTGCAAAACAGGTTGATTTGACACTTTTAGATATTAACAATCTGTTGGTCACTATAAAGTGCTTCTATCAGTTAACTTAGAGATGATATCACAGGTCAATGTGTTCGTCTTGCATCATCATTGATCCTGAAAACATACATCGATTCAGATCAATAGATGATCACATCCCTAGGTATTACACGGAGTGCAGCAACAGAGTGCAGGCTTCAGTGTCTCAACAGTGAGCTGTAATGGTACAGTGGTTGCTACCATCTTTTTCTTGTTAGTTATGTTGCCATCCAACCCTGGCAGAGACAGCGACAGCAGCTAATTAACTCCCCCATTTCCCTCCACATGTTGAGATGCGGCACCACTGGTAAAAAGTAAAACGACAAGACAGCTCACAGCATCCCAACCGGTGGCTGCCGCGGCCCACAGAAGCCTCAAATCAAAGTGTGCAAATCAGAGTCAAAGCAGAGGGCAAGCCTGTGGCAAACACAGGCCGAACTAAAAACCTTTCCTCTTTGCCTCAGTGCTCCCCGAGCTTCACGTTCCATTCACATCACAAAGCCACAACCTGGAAAGCAAACCTTTTGACGAGTTCCACGAGTTTGTAACTGGATTATCTGTCATTAGAACTAAGCCTGTTTCAGCCTCTTTTTTTTTCCTTTTTGGCCCCTGTTAAAGCAATGAGGTGACCAGCCTCCCCTTCAGACATGCTTAAATTGAGTCTATGTGGAGTCTGGTGCGCTGCTGTATATATACCACCTCGGCCAAAAATAATGCCATAAAGAGCACTATTGGGAGCTGCAAGGAAAAATATAAAAGAGAAAAAAAGAAAGAGATACATGTACAGCTGAAGAAATGGGATCCCTGGGGGTCTTAATGACAAAAAGGTTCTTGGAAATTCCTCCCATTGCATGCAATAACATTTGTCCATTGGTCTAGAGTTAAAGTAAACACTGCAGACTTAAAATCACAATAGCTGCAATATTTTTAGAACCAAACTATGATAAGCTCTAAAATTAGAATTCAATTAATCTTGAACAACAATGCTCACTGTGGGATAATAATCTCGCGTCGCTCAAGTGAGAAAAAAAATCCTGTGTGGCCACACAAAGACACAAGGGATCTTAAACTCATGCGAACATGCTATTCCGCCCATGCATTTCTCAGTTCACATAATAGCACATATATTGCAAAAACAACTGGTGTGACCCGCGGGCCAATTCGGTTTTTTCAGCTTCTGGAAACAAAGGCTTGTCTGTGAACCTCGCAAGGCCAGAGATCCTACAACGCCAGGAGACAAAACAAGAAGTCGTTCTTTGTTTACAGCAGTGATTTCCTTTAACTTGGCTGCAGTTTGCACACTGGACCGCCGGGACCTTCAGTGCTACCATTTTATTAGCATATGGTCTGAAGCGAACAATCGCAGGTTGAGAGCATATGCTTTTCTCGAGCGCGGTGTCGCTGCAGAACCCCACGGAGCGGTCGTTTCAGACAGGGCCTGTCAACACGACATCACGCAAAGACACGACAACAGATCACCGTGAATTTAACGACCACGAGGAAGCGGTTTCATCCAACGCAGCAAACCAATGAAACAGGAAAACAGAAAGGAGAAAGAGAGTTTTTACATCTGACTTTCTCATCACGGCACATGTGCGGAGCTCCAGCTATCTGGGACTTCCCTCCCTGTCAGACTTCTGCTGGTGGGTGTCAGCTTACTCCCCGCTGTGCTCGCCATCCTTTAATATGCTGATATAACTTACTGTAGAACAACACGGCAGTGCGACTTAAGCACATGTGCGGCATCAATCTAACTCAGTGTGAATGTGGGAAAATGTACCGTTTGAGATGACATCATGGCAGAGTATCTCAAAGCCCTGCCTGGTCAGTATAAACATCAGTCGCCTCAAGAGTGTGAGGGTATTTCCAGCCATTAATCAGTGTTTGTTTACCATGTTTTACTGCAGCGACATGACACTGAGTGGAACTATCTTTAAAGCACAAAGCATGACAAGTATCTGGGGATTTGTCGAGTGCCGCATAGCAGAGCTGGCTGATGCTTTAGTAAGAGCGGTGGTAAGCAATATAGAATCATAAAACCATAAGTGGTCTGTTCTAAAAAAGGAGCTCCATGACTTTACTGAGAAAAAAACGTCCTTATATCTGGATCAAGGGCTGATGTAAAATGTTCTGTGTTTTACACTCAAATGATAGCTGAGGTAATTGAGCCACATGGATGGTAACGAATATAATCACAGGGAATTTCGTTAGTGGTAATGCTCAGCAGGTCTTTAACTGATTAGAGATTTTCACATCATTACATGAAAACAGGTAGCGCCACACATACACAGTGATTGGTTGTTCCTAAATATCTCCACCTATTAACCGCCAGATAACAAAATGGACCAGAACCTTCAAAAATGACCCATTTGAACTGAAAACATCTATATAAATTATTGAACAAAGTGTGAACTATATTGTGGATTTCAGGGGAGCTCACTTCTTACACATTTTTGTGGTCAGTAACAACAGGTGCAACATTATTCCTGTTCATAAGAATGAAAAATGAAGTACAAATTACCACCAAAGCAGAGAGCATCATGGAAGGCCGCCCCAGTTTGATTGTGATGATGGGAATCATATGCATCATTATTAGATTAGATATAACTTTATTAGATATAACTGTATTGATCCCTTTGGTAGAGTACCTCAGGGAAAATGTTGAAGCAAATAATTAAAGAAAATCAGGGATAAATCATCCTTAGTATGAGATGCATATGAATAACAGCTTCATTTTGCACCTGATCCATAATAATAAAGATCCAGAAAAATAGAAATACACGACAAAATTAGAATATTGTCAAAATATCGCCTAGCATGGTCATAAATCCTGTCTTTGTCATGTGTCTGTGAAGATTCTCAGCCATCCAGGTCGTGGTTATTCTCATTGTCACAAACCGGGCCAGTTAGTGGCAAAAATGGAGTCCACACATGAAGTAACAAATCAAAAGTAATTTATTAGTAAATAATTTTAACCTGAAAGTAAATAAAAGTTAGATCATTTAAGTAAACATTAGATCATAAATAACTAATAGAAGTTAAACTAAGGTCAAAATAAACCAAACGTATATGTGCAATGTAATGTCGAGAGTTAGTCATGTATGCAGTGCATGGATGAGTGGATGGTGTTGTGTGCAGTGTTGAATGCAAGAGGGAATGATACTCAAGTTCCCATGGCTGGAGGAAACCTGAATTCAGCCTCAGTCTGGAAGCAGCAAGAGAGAGTGAACACATGATTAGCTTGCTCTTAAATACCCTGTTCCCAAACACCCACAGGTGAGGCGATTTGGCCTAATGACCTGCCACCACCAGTGAGCAGCCAGAGGGGCAGGCCGTCACATCATAGATTAGTCGTAGCAACTGAACTTGCTTGAGTTTCCTGAAGACGTTTCATCCAAGAAGCTTCATCAGTTCTGACTGACTAGTTGGGAGTTCTAGATACTTATTTCCTAAAGGAGCCATTAACACCTGAGTTTCGGTTTCAATTAGGGGTTTGTTGCTCCTCCCCCTCGTTGTGAGAGTCGTTATTGCTCCCCCTGCCACAATGGGGTTCGTTAGGGTACCCTAACATGATGCAGGATGAGAGGTGAAGGAACTCCAGCAAGTCCAGTTGCAACGATTAATCTACAAGAATGTCTTTGCCATAGTTTACCGACATATGGCAAAGAGAAGGAGCCAATTCCAGATTAGAAAACCTGGAGTCTGACAATACTTTGAATAAATTACTGTTTTCCTCTATTTGGTAATTAATCATTAAGATGACTTCAAACTACATTTCAAAAGCTCAGTTAGAGAGTACGTAACAGGATATTTCCTACACACTCTAAACCGTGTGAATGATTTAAACTCCAAAACAACCCTGTGCGTGTGTAAAATAAGGCAGCTTTATCTAAACACCTCTAAAAATAGTGGGCAGTTGAATTTCACAAAGCACTTGGCTCTTAAAAACTGTTTATTTGTAAACTGTTAGTTAGAAATTAGTCACAGCTCATCATTCTGCAGTGATTTCTTGCCCATGTTTGACACTAAAGCGTTTCATAATCACGTATCACTAATGTCTGTGCCGGCTTTGAATGGTGTAACTTGATTGAGTTGATTTAAAACGAGCTAGAAGTGACATAATAAAGATTGAACACACCAGGCTACTAATGGATTGTGCTGTCATACATTTAAATGCAAAATGGATAATACAGAGTCCATGCTGAAACGCTGCACTCTGTGACTGAACGCTGCTGTAAAGGTGTGTGTAACTGCTGAAATCTATTCACTGGAATTTCACTCGTTTTTACCTTAAGGGTTCTCCTTCCTATTACCACATCTGGCTTCAATCAATGCGAATAAAAACTTCTCTTCTTTTAAAGTCAAAGGAAGAGAGACATCAGACCCATTTTGTCGGACCCTGTCCCCATCAAAGAACTTTTACTGGAGCTCTTCTGATTAGTCTGATTGTTGGTTCAGCAAATGGGCTGTCATAAAATCCTTTGGAATGGTACGTCCTCACAAAATTCTACCAAGCTAAACAGCAATCTGACAAAGTATTGAACGGAGCTAAAAATACCCCGTATAAGCAGGGTTGTGGTATTTCTCAGTTCGGAGCTGGAGTGAAAATAACACTGCAGCAGCTTTGCAGCCCATTTGTTCGTACAAGGAGAAGAAAGTTGGGAGGTAATTATTGCGGCCGGGGTGATAACGCAGCTCAGAACGCTGTAATGAGTGTTCGCATAACCAACGCAAATGGCGAGGACCAACCATGACCAGCTGCTGACTTAATACAAGGCAGACATGGAGGTCCATCGCAAACTGAAATCACAGCTGGTTCTGGCAAATCAAAGCGCTAACATGTGCTGACTTATTTACCGCGCTGAACAAGAAATAAAGGTAAAATTACCAACGAGGAAGCACAAGTTGGCTCGCTCACGCTCTGCAGAAGTAACCTTACCAAACACAACAAACTGCTTTTGAGGTTGACCCCAGTCTGAATGTCTGACCGCCTGCCATGGCGGTGTTTTTAAGAGCTCCCATCAATTCACACGTACGCTGAATGGAAATCATCATAAATGTGGCAGGAGGTCCAACACCGGAAGTGATCGCTACGTTAAGTGTGGGTGTATGAAGACGTGCTGGATGCTTCAAAGCCCTCTGATTGTCAGCACACTGGATTGAGGCTAGGAGTGCTGACGCAGCATACCTGGTAGATCCTGGCAGCAGCACTTCAAAGGGCCGTACTACTCTTTGAAACCCATCATACTTCACCCCTGTGGTTGCTTAAAGAGCCAGTGTGCTTAACAGTTTCAGTATGTTTGGCACAAACCATCAGCCCAAGTGTAGGGGGAGGGGACTCAGGAAATTCTGTGTTTTAAGAAACAGAGTAGGGATGAAATCAAAACAATTTATCCTAATATCTTGTTAAAGACGTTTCATTGCAATAAGGCCGAGCCAAGGGCTGAAAGTACCGGTGCACAAGAGAGCTTTTTGTATTGCAAGCCAGTGACCCATGGAAAGATAAAGGCAGCTATATATTTTCTTCTTTAACTAAACCTACTGTATATTCCTCCTCTTAAATCATGGAATTATTATCCTGAAATATGGAAAGCTGAAAGGTAAACCTGTACTAACATTTATTTTCTGATGACTGGAGCACCAAAGCAGCATATGGAAAAGCAAAGGAAACGTCTAAAATTCAATAGAAAAATGGGATCCATCACAGCAACCGGATCACTCCAAATGTGATTTAAGTTTCCACAGTATCGTATATAAAAGTAAGATGAAGCTATCAGTGAAATTATAAATACTATTAAAAGTCTCTTCTTGGTTTGTGGAAATAAAAACATTTTAAAAAGGGAAAAGGCCAGACATTCCTGGAATTCCCTGACAGCTCGATACATAAGGAAGGGCTGGACTGGAAAAACAGAGTCCAAGATCAGGGCCAAGCTGTCTGAGACACTGCCACTCACATATCAGCAGGAAAAGAAAAGAGGACACTACTGACGCTTAGCCCTCAATAAATTATACCTTCTTTAACCTATAGGCTGCTCTGGTATCCTAGACCATGTGATCATTTTCTATCCCTCTGTTTCCTTCCTCCTCTTCTCAGAGCAGTGTGACAGGGGTGAGGTTTGGGGTGAAGAAGGCAGAATTTCAACGGTGCAGAGGCGAGAGCACGGAGCACAGACAGACTTTGTGGGTGTTGACATTGTACCACCGCCTCCAGCACCCCTTCAACGCAACGTTTCAAGCTGCCAGCGCGCTTCACACGCTGCCGGCGCTCCGCAGCCAATTCTACCGCTACTTAGTTCCACGAAGCACAATTAAAACGGGAACAAAATGCCCATTTCCAGGCACGGAGTTGAACTAGCCTGCCCAGAGGGGTGTTGGCGCTTCGCAATCCTTTTCCAAAGACTAACAATCTTCAATCTAAAAATTCGTCAGAGACCATTAAAAAGGCCTTCAGATTCTATTGAGTGTGACCAAACAGGCTACCGCAATTTAAACGTCTAAAGTAAAGACTTGCATAAAATTGATTATACAGAAAATCCTCGGGACGACGACTTGGCCGAAGCGAATCAGATCTGATACGTAAACAGTGTTTCTTAAGCTTTCATAAACATCAATCTCAAGAATGGAAAGAAAGCAGCGTCAGCACTCAGCGCCAGTGTTTTAATGCTTTAGGCCTCATCACGGGTTCTGAAAAACAACAATGTATACTGTCTCTAGCATGTGTGTGTGTATAGCAGCACAGCATCTCAGACTCACAGTAAGTCTGTCAGAGGAGGGACACACTGTTTACCTTGGCAGTGAACCCCATTGAGACTGTAATGCCTTATTCTCTGTCTGCTGCCTCAGGGGAAGGCAAATAAATAGCACACATGAGCACAATGGTGAAACTTGACCAAAAGTAGCAGTAAGGCTTTTATAGGGCAGCAAAGATGCATCGTGTGAAACTGACAACTTCAGCATCCGAATATATTAATTAATCTGCAGCTTCTATATCGTCAGAGCATCTGTGACATTTTCCATTTTCGCCGAGCTATACCATTGTTATTTTCTAAAAACAGAATAGTTTAAACAGATTTCCACTTGGATTTTACACCCGCACGCACGACGCATAATGAATATTGTAGAAACTGAAGTGAAAGATTGGAAGGTATCTGCTAAATGTAGGAATTATACACAATCCATCAAAGTGAAAGAACAAGAAAAGACGTATTTTTCGAAATCTCTGTTGACTCGAAATTAGTTTTGGATACTGTTTCTCCACTTGGACGTTTGAAATTCACTGTGCAGCGTGATGTATGTGCAGAGTCTGACGCCATGCAGCTGTTTTTTGCATTCATCTACTCAAGGTGAAATTGTATCTGATCACCTTAAATGTGTTTGATGCATGAATGTACAAGGTGATTTTGTGGCATTACATGTGTAATTCCAGTGCACAAACACTGCAGATGAACTTTACTATAAAGAGGGAAACATGTTGCACCCAGCAGTTAAACTTTTTGAAGAAGTAGTAATGGTATATTTTTATAATCAAAGTATTGTTAAACGCAGAGCTTTTAAAACATGTTTAGGGGGGGATCCTAATGATTTTGCGTGCATTTCCATGGACTCACCTGGTGCTGCTGTGCAGATCTGTTCCAGAGTGAACAGCTCTCACTGGCCCTTGGGTCGTAAAAGCTTTAGGATTGAGTGTGAAGCTCTCTCTGCCCAGCATCCTATTGGCCAGGTTCAGGTTCGTCAACTGTGGGCAAAGACGAGGTTTGAAGAGATTATTTATCTTGACTGCAATTTATGCAAACATCTAGAATGTAATTGTATTATAAGGATGTAAGCCTTCAATCTGTGCTACAGGTAGAGTCTGTGAGTCTAACTAAAGGTTGTTAATATTTAATTACTTATATATTACATATTTAGAAAGTTAGCATGTGACAGATTGACTGGCCCTTCTTCTCCCACCTCCCCGCTCCCTCCCGTGCACGAGCACAAACGTGCACAGGACAGAGTGTTGAGTGAAGCCACGTTCTTATCCGCTCAATTGACAAAAAACGTAGTAGATCCGAACCGTATATTCCACCTTTAAGTCACTTTAACTAAACATGTCACAACCGCTGACCCCTGTGTCTAAAGAAACGGACGTGATGAATAGGATCTGATGAATAAGTGTAATATCACGCTTCTCCTCACATCGACCACCTCCGCCTTTTGTATCTGGGGGGCTGTGTGAAATGTACACACAGCACATGGCACAGCTCGTCTCCGCTCAGCACTAAATCCAGGTGGTCCCCTCCTCCCCTCCTCCCCTCTCTCCTCCATCCTTAACAGAATCAGTTATCATGACGCGCCAGGCAAAATGTGTTTACAACCGCATCAGCACTTCTTTAGCAAAACGCACCTCTGCACCGCTCCGGGAATTATGTTCAGTGAAATCTAGCGGGAGAATTAATCATACTGCTGTAGGGTTTTATTTACTTTATTTCCTCCTGTGTATTAAATGTCCAGTAGGAAAACTGTAAAGCTGCCAAGCCTTGCACGACGTAAAAAAAATGTGTCAGCGTGTTGTTACACAGCTACAGCAGCTCCAGTTTACTTATTAGCTAGACTGGTTATATTCTTAAAAAAGAGTCTCACCTGAGCAAATTAAAATGCAGGCATGGAGGCCCATAACGCTGGGCTTTTGGATAAAATGTCATAAATCTTATCGCACAAGGCAGAGACGTTCCTCCAACGTATGCATCTGCCATAATAACCCATCGTCTGAGGTCATGTACACAGGCTTGTCTATTTGAGCATTACAAGGACGTCTTATAATGTCTTGGACGTAAACATGCGTACATACACAGACGCTGGAGGGATTCACCGTCATATCATCCCGGCACAGGAGTATATCCACTTTATTGATGGTGACCATGTCTGGCTTTACTCAATTTCAGTTTCTGTTTTGTGTATGTGGCCTAGCATGAGAGTGAGTAATTACATAAACCTTAGAGGTCAACTGAGCAACAGGGTGTTGTTCATGTTTACAAAGTTCTCCATTTAGACCAGCAAGTGATTTAATGACTTCAAATCTGAGCCCTAAAAAAACCCTAAATGCACTTTGAGCCTTTAAGTGCTAAACACTGGACTATTTTACTCTGAAAAATAAAGTCGCTGCCATGCCCGGGATTAACTGCTCGCAGGAAACACAGCAAACATCTTTCAGATAGACAGAATAATGTACAGTCACAAGGAAGCTATAAAAACTGCAGTCTGTGTGGTCTGGTGCCATCACAAAAAAATTTTGACAGAAGAAATCCTGTGAGGCAGAAGAGGAGGAGGAGGAGGAAGAGGAGGAGGAGGAGGTGGTGGAGGGGAGGAAAGGTTGAGGGGCTCCCCAAGCCGAGGGCCAAACCTTCGGGGAATACAGGAGAAGGTGGTGATGGAGCCAACGAAGCTGCCACTCCCCTGCTCAGTGCCAATTTGCCACATTCCTCCATTTATAAGCATCAATTACCACAAAAAAAAAAAAAAAAAAAAGAAGTGGCTGCTTGTTAAGTATCAACAGAAATCACTCCCCCATGGTGCATCTGATAATGAGACCTCACACAGAGCTGAGGCTTGATGCGGCTCACCACTGTTTAGGCCAGCCAGCTTCAAACTCCGCTTCCAGACCCACCCCCACACCAGCCCACAGACTGCAGGCGAGCTAGGGGCTGAAGGAGGAAGGTGCGCGGTACGAGGCAGCAGACCCCGCGGCTCCAACAGGTCTGCTGAGTGAATGAGCAGCGAGATGCCGCCGATCGGCATGGGGTCTGAGCCAGGTTTACGCATCAACAAAGAGAAATATCAAAGACCTCACAGTGAGAGACGACTGCAGCGGGGCCAGGTTGTTCTTCTTTACATGAAACATTACACGGATCAGTTTACAGTTCCTTAACAACTCGACGTAGTCTCGTATTTAAAAGTGCGGTAGCTGTTGATTGCTGCGGGGGTTAGAGGCATTCTAAACTTACGTGTTGTGTCAGCAGGTTGATGTGACTGGAGCTGGCACAGTGGCGAGCAACCTGCTTGTCAGCCAGCTTCTGCAGAGCTGAGATGAAGGCCTGCTGGTTAGACTGGGCCTGAGCAGACAGAGAGTTTAACTCCCTGAAAGCACCCGTTGAGTTTGACTTGAGCTTACTGGAACTGCTCCTCTTGACCACTGTAGAGAAAAAAAACAAAAGACAAAGGTGGGAACATCACGGTGAGTTGGATTGGAAACAACGGCGTGTGGAGCGATGGGATTACCTTGGCTTGCAGATGTGGGTCTCGAGAGCTTCTGGCTATAGATGTGCGTGGCACTTGGGATGGAGGAGGCTGCTGGATGGGACAAGGTAAAGGACTGAATCCTTCTGAGCACCTGGGTCGATGGCCCTGTTGAGCCAGCGGATGAGGCTGTCCCCATTATTCTTGAAGGTTGTGTGATCACTGGGGCAGAGGTGTACGCAGGAGGGTCAGAGAGAGTCTCAGAGTGGCAGAAGTGAGATTTTGCCAAGGACTGCGCGTACGACGGAGGCTGAGGAGGCGGGGGAGGTGGTGGACAGTGAAGAGGCAGGGATGCTGGAGCAGGAGGGCAGTGCTGCAGACTGATGTGCATGCAGTCTAACGTCACAGGAAAACTAGAGCAGTGCTGAGACGACTGGACATCTGGCTGCGTTTTACCAGTTCTAACCTCAGCCTGACGGTCTTCAGGCAGCATGCGGACAGAAGGCTGACTCTCAGAGGCCTTGATGTCTGGGTCAGTGCTGACTTTGCCGGTGGAGAGCGAGGACTCTGAAGCACTGGAATCTTCTTTGGCCACAGGCAGAGCTGTTCAAAGGAGGAAAGAAGCCAGAGCTTCTTTATCATCAGTTCGACCATTCCTCAGCTCTGACACACATTTGTTTTCCTGCAGTGAGTTCTAATCATTTGAGGCTGACCTTTTCTTCACCCCAGATGACTCAATCTTTTTTTTTTCCCTTTGCTTTTTTTTTCAGGGGGGGTTTACAAATCTAAACAACTCCTGTTTACTGTGTTTGAATGATAAAAAAAAAATGAAAACATAAACCAGACCTACATTAAAGATAATAACCGTTGGAAGGAACTCACATCTAGAATTCTCACAGTTGCCTGGATCTCCTGAGACGTTTACTTCATGAACATCTTTCTTAACACTTCGGACTTCTGTTCCTAGGAAGACGGTGGCCGATTTATTTTTCTGAGTATAGAATGTCAGTACTTCCTCCAGATCGTTTTCACTGTTAATAAAAAAAAAAGAGAGAGAGAGAGAGATAAATGCGTATAGCAGATTGGGATCACTCTCCAGTCAGTAGCATATGTAACTGGAACAGCAAAGAGCCAAGTGCTGAACAAAAGTAAGCGTTCCTGCCAATTCACTAACCTCGCTACAGTGATGTACTCTTGAAACACTCTGGAGTTAACACAATGCTCCTCTTTGCTATTTTCCTGTTTTTGCACCATATGTTCAGTTTCCTGTGAAGACAATAAAGGATGAGACAGCAGATGTAAATAGCACAGTGTCTCCTGTGTTTAAATCACCTCTCGGAATCGTGTGATGAAGTCTGGGCATATGTACCTTGTTGTAACAGTGGATAAATTCTCCCAGCTGGTGGGACAGAATGCGTCTGCGGTCTTGCAGCGGTAACTGGCGACTAGGCAAGACTACCTTTATGTCTTGTTGAAGGTTACTGGCTGCTCTTCTCAGGAAGCGAATCACGAGCTCCTGTGCAAACAAAAAAACACACGAAAGAATCTTTCATTGGCGCCCCCAAATCACTGATTCATCACGCTGCCTGTGTGTGTTCCTCCTTTCAGGGTCCTTTGGAAACACTGGGACGTCTGAATTTAAGGGTTCACACTGATTTTCCCGAAAGGCTTGAGGTCACCGGCGATGATGATGTATGCCATTACAATGCAGACTTTCCAATCGGACTCACTTTTAAAGAGTCTTTCCTTCTGTGTGGCCACAAGTGCCTCATACACATTTCAGCTACAGCCAGGGCACATATGAGTAACAGAATAATAAAGGAAATCTGGCATATATATACATACAGAGAAAGTAATGGCCCAGGGGAATCCATTGCTGTCTATTTATCAAGAAAAACAGATTTAAAAATGGCTCTAAGTGTACCATTTGGTCGCTGTCCTTGTCTGGCCAAGCTGGGATGGTGTTGGCTCTGCTCTCCGCTAACAGCCTTTGCTGGACTCGCTGCAGGTAGGAGGAAAAAGCAATCCGGGCCTGCACTTTACTGAAGAGGCAGGAGAGAGAGAGAGGAGAAAACTATCAAGAACTGCAAAACAATAGACAACAACAAATGCAGCAACAGTTGATAACAAAATGACATCCAGTAAGTTCTTTGTTAGTTCACTCAAAACTGACAGTAGAGGCTATTCCGTGATATACGCATCGACAGAGAGAATTCAGCTTCCTGACGCCATCCAGAAAACGAGAGGACCCAACAACATGTACAGTGCATATCACTTTCAGCCACAGGTTGTTGAAACACAGTGTAACTTGTTCTCCATCAGCATCAGAATGATAAAGTGTCTCGGAGACCCAGGTGAACCGAGTGAGAGTGCTGCGGTTGAAAAAAAATGTTTTGGAAAAAGCTGTCAAACACAAACAATGAAATGTTGTACGATAATTTCCCAGCTTCGCGCACAGTCCTGGCAGGTTCTGAGGAATTTCTACAAACTCAGACTTGTTATTGTAATTCCTTCTCAAATTATAATTTCGAGTATACGTTTACCATTGATAGAAGACTGCAGCCTTTGTTGCATGTAAGTATAGCGGCACATGCAGCAAGCTGTGTTTGTGTGTCTGGTGGTCTATAGCATCAATCTTTAAAGACAGGATGCTGTCTTCTTCAGCAAATTTGGAAACCTTTACATCTGTGGTTATATTATCTTTTGACAGTTTCCTGAACTTCTGTACATCAGTTAAAAGTCAAGCAGTAGATTATGATAGTAACTGGCACCAAAAGATCACATAACCACAGTTTGATAAGTAGATGATTATCATGTCGTCTACACTCGATCAAACCTAACCGAGCGATCAAACACCTTCGATAAAGGAACCGCATGCAGTCATGGAATAACTGCGACAACTCTCATGACCTAAAAAACAAAAGAAATGCAGGTTGCTGCACTGCAACAAGGAGAAAAGCCAAGTTTGTCCAGCATCTCTCCCACTCAAAGAGAAGTCTGAGAGTGACAGCTTATTTATAGTAAAGTATTTATAGCGTGGTATGGTATAAAACTCTTTTTCCATTGGCTCGTTTCAAATGATTCAAGTACAACCTATGGAATTCTTCTTGACCATATCAGAAAGTCTAAGCCTACATATGCTGAAAAAGAAGCTTCTTCAGACTCCATTCCTCAAAAGGGCTTTAGTTCTCTATTTTTAAAATTACTATGTAGGACACGTCATAATACTGAAAGCCGTGGTCAGCTTTAACCTGAAAATATATAAGCAGTTCACCTTCTGTTTATGACTAGATGATGAACATATTTTAAATGACAACCTATGAGTGCAGTTTGTTTTCTCAGGCCTCAATCAGAGTTAAAACAGTTATCACCGAAGCCTGAAAAGTTAGAAAGAAAAATAGCTTTTTTATACAAATATGTGGCTAGAATGTATGTTTAAGACTTCATGACATACAAAAATAAGACTGACATTTTGTAGACCCCCAGCAATTAGAAAGCAAGCCAGAGGCAGTGGCTTAGCCTGTGATGATGAGGGTGGGAATTTAAGGGAGATGAAAATACAGTCAGAGCAGCAGCCAACCTGAGCAGCAGCCCAGAATACAGACTGACCTGAGTTCCCACCCCTGCTGAAGGATGTTGAGCAGGTTGACTTGGGGCCTGGCATTGTGCATGGCTGCCTCTGAGCTGGACAGAGTCTCACTGTGGCAGCGCTCCAGTGGTGTGGCCACTTGTTTTCTTTGCTCTGCTACCAAAGCCTTGTGGGAGACTGGCTCAAGAACTTGTTTCACCTCCTCTCTTTCCTCCGGAGCACACTCCTCTCCCTCCTGACTGCTGTTCTCAGTCGGGGAGGCCTTGGATTCCTTCCCTGAGGTATGCAGCAGCGCAAGGAAAGACAAATGTCAGTTGCATCACTGGCATTTTGGATAGAATACACGCATGCACTCTAAATAGGCTTTTTATTGTTTCTGCAATGAAATGAACTCATTCAGAGTCATATTTGGCCAACCTTACCGTGACACAAGGGAGTTATTTATTGGAACCAAAAGTGCATTAGCGTGTGATGTTGTCCTACTTAGCTACACTCTTCTCTGTTTTAGAAAAAAAAAACTGTTTTCTGAACCGAAGCAGAGTACATCAGGCCTACCCAGTCTTTTCTTCCCTGCAGCAGAGCGATGAGTCAGGTGGCGCTGTCTCCTCTCTCGTGCCTCCAGAGACAGCAGCTTCCTCTCATACTGGACAACATGACAGCCATGGACTGTGTCCACCTGCAGCTGCACATTCCCATTCACATTCCTGAGAGACAGAGCAAGACGTGTCAGAGCAGGACGTGTCAACGCAATGGTCATAACAACAACAGTAATGATTTATACGTATATCATCAAGTAATACAAAACAGAGGATCGGCTGTCAATGTCAACTTTAACTGGAGCCCGTTCTGAGAAATATTAGTGTGGTTAAGTAGCATGTCCAGAAGTTGACGTGACAAATGGTGATGGTCCAAAGCATAAAGGGCAAACAATAACAGCAACCGAGGTCTTGCAGCAACAGCCATCTCCCTAATCTGGCTACCTAACGAAGATGGAAAAATCCTAGACGAGCTTAGTTGGGGGCCAAATCTCCAGTCAACACGGTTCAACAGTCAAAGCTGTGGTTAAAACTTGAAAGCTCATACTGAGTCAAATAACCTAAATGCATGTTGTATTACAATAACAAAAATGTGGTTTAATAAAATGGCCCGGTTCATCTATTACTGTCTTTCCCCTCCTGCCCCCAAATCGACACCACAATGCCACATAGACTTTGGGCGCGCGCTGGAAAAGTTGACTGCGCTTCATCTTTTCGCCTGTTCCTCTCACCTATCCAGTCAAAAGACCAAACAAACGTTACGTTAGAATCCAGCCATTTCCACAAAACTGATGGAGAGATTTATTCCCCAACTCCCGACCACAATGGAAATGCTTACCTTCCATGGAAAAGTCTGTTTGCCAACATGGAGTTCATTGATGTCTTGGATTCCAGATATCCACTGAGAGAAGAAGATAATAAGCAAATTACAATAATCATAAAGGCAGGGGCCCCAATGAGCCTCGACCTCCCTATTTGCGGCAAAAGTGTTAAAATGAGGCTTCTGTGATATACAGTAGCCGCTATGGCAGCAGCGGCTATTAAATGCCCCAATAATTTCCCAGACTGCTCAATAATATGCTTTTAAAAATGCCACAAAATCCCTGCTGCTAAGAGACCCATGGATCTAATCAGGCAACAAATCCGCATATAGGAGTAGAAATTGTTGGCACAAAAATGGATTTCCTCCCTACATAGGGGCTCCAATAGGACTTCAACATATAGTCACTGTGAGATTCATTTTTTTTGGAACATAACTCACACAGCTCTACAAATATCTTCTGACAACAATTGCAAGTTATGCTGTAGCTGTACCTCAGATTTATGATTCAATTAGTTACAGCCAAGAGGAGATATATATGGTCTAGATTTAAGGCAATGATTGCATTAATTTATGTTAAACTTATCTGAGTATCAGTGATGAGTAACATCATAAAGAAACACCCCTTGTGGAGTACAAGTGATCTGTCTGTTCTCTGTGATTACCCATAGAGCTCCCATGTATCTGCAGTGGGGAAGATCCGAATAAATCCTCCTCGCCTGTCGTACTCCTCCTTTATCCTCCTCAGCACTCTGATCTGCATTTGTGACAAAAAAACAAAAAGGGTGTATAGTCGGCATACATTCAGTCGCCTCTTTTGAGGATATCACTTGGACTATGTTAAACACCATAATTAAGGCTTTACCTCCTCAGCAGTCAAGCTCAGAGTGCTGTCTCCTTGGCTGTGTTTAGCTCCTTGCTTGTCTTTCACTCCCTCTGTTTCTGAGTTACTGGCTGATGTGGGCCTCTGACGCTACAGAGGAAAAGAGACGCCACCATTATGCTCTGATACTAACTGCTTCTCCTCGCCAGTGTGGAAACAAATGGGGAGCTTCACAATCAGAATGAATTGAATTATGATTAAAGTTTGTAGAAGTAGTCTAAAGTCAAGTGTTATAAATGAAAAATGCAAAAAACTGCACCACAGGTAACCGAAACCCACCCCTTCCCTTTATTCTCCCTGTCACAGAAAAAAAGAGCATTTTGTCATGCGCTGGCATTCCTGGCTGTCTCCCTGCTGTATGCACTACCAGGCTGTGACTGACAACTTTGGCATGTAGTTTGGAACTCGGGCCAGATAGCAGGGCACAACCCCACGGGATCACATACAAAATTTGTCATCTAAATAGCGGGGGGATTATATTTAATTTGTCTGACGCAGCTGGGGGGGATTCAAAGGCAGCCAAAAAGTGACAAGGCCTAATCCCTCAGAAAAAAAAAGTCTCAACTGTTGCCCCTGATCAGAGTAAAGGGAGAGGACAGGTTCTCTGTAGGCCCCTGGAGTTCTTCAACTGACTCTGTGACAGCTCTGGTCTAGCGTTGGGCTTGATTTAGCTCTGTCTGGGCAAATGAGACTCTGAAGTTTCTGGCTTTTTCTGGAGTAGAGTGGAGTGGAGTGGTGCACTGCAGCATCTTAAGCAGCTACTTAAAAAGGCCACTCAGCTAATGACTATTAAAAATACAGCATTAGGAATCGATAGAAGCCATCTGCCTGTCACCGTGAAAAATTGTAAAGCCACATAATCAAATAAGCAAAAAAGCAGTAAGCAATTTCTTACCAGTAATGTAACAGGCATCGGGGAATTGCAAAGGAACAAGGCAAAGGAAGATTAATATGTCTGAGTCAGACTGAAACTCACCACTCTGCTGTGTGTAGTGGCTGTCGGTGCAGAAAAAGGTTTCTAAGAGGCAATGGGTGAAGACATTGCATCAGCATTACTGTTTACGCTTTACGAAGGCGTACACAGACAACATGCAAACCACATCAACATGCAACAATGAAACACTGTTACTGTGTGTCTAAACAGGCCCTTTACACAATATAAGGTGGAGCAGAAATCTGTCTGATTTAGTAATATCCCTCCAGCAGATGCCGCGCCAAATCTCGGTGCAGTAGTCGAGCGAAGGGAGCCAAGTGCATTAGCTGTTGTGGCATCATTAGGCAACAAGGGCCTAGAGAGAGTATTAGTCACTTGATTAGAAATGATAAAACAATAAGCCACAGAGAGTGTAGCGCTCACAAACTGATGTCACTCAAACACTGTAATTACATTAGCAGTTGTTTTGCATTACAGTGAATTTTCCATGAGGGTAAGACAAGAGCTCAATGGCAGTGGCAGGAATGTAGTGTAAGCAACAGAGAGATGAAGACAAGAATGGGAATGTTTCACAAGGAAGGGTGAATGAGTGCACGACTTGGCCCGATGGTGTGTTGTGTGTGTGTGTGTGTGTGTGTGTGGGTGTGTGTGTGTGGGTGATGTGTGTGTGTTAGCGTCCACTACCTGTGTTCTCTGGGTTGCCGGGTGCTTCTCCAGGGTTCCTCGGTCAGTGCGTGGCTGCCTCAACAGGGGGTCCTGACACACAAAGCCTGCACGGACACAGATGAGCCATAAAGGGGTATATTAATGACATCAGGTCTTAAATATGCTACTCATTCCCATGACCTTCGCATATTGCATCAACTCTTCAGTGTTTGTGCAAGAAACCAAAGTAGACCACGGAGGGTATGAGAGGCAATAAATTAAACAACAATATCATGGTAAATCAAAGACACTGCACTATACCTATGTTAGTATGAAAACAACTGTTTTATATGGTGACACGCTGCTGCCTAATGCAGCCATCGTCCCTTGATGTGGACCACTGACTGGGCTTTTGGCATCTCTGGTGAAAATCCCGTTCTTTTACCGGTTTAACATGTCCATATGGTGTTTATTATATGCTGGAAGACACATCGTGAGTGAAATAAGCAGTCAACGGCACGGCTGAGCAGCTCCATCGTAAAACTGAGACGAATCTGTGTCTCGAAAACACAGATTCAGATTCCGGAGTTTCATACACAATAAATCTGAAGAACCAGTCCTATCAAATTGCAGGGTGGGGCTTTTTAATCGCTACCCTCCTTCAAATCAGTTCCTGCTTCAAACATATATGTCTGGATGACTCCAATAACTCAAGCTGCTATTGTGTCCCATAGCTTTACAGTGCTTGAGTCATCGGTGAGCTGGTGTGCTTGAGATGCAGCAAAGAGCAGAGGGGTGGAAGAGCCAAAAAGTGCAGTTCATCAAATGGCCACTTGAGGCTGGCTCCAAAAGTGAGTCACTCTCCATATGTTACTGTGGCCAGCTTTACAGTAGAAATAAACATGTTTACAGCCTTCAACAAAAACTGGTTTTGGTTTCTACAGCTCTATCCCTGTTCATAACAACTGCACAAGGGGTGAAATTTCACACAACTCACCTGTTTAGATTGTATTTGAAACTTAAAATTACACATATTTAAGGGTGTGTGTAGAAGACAATAACATAATAACGGCCGATAGTGTAATAAATTTGCCATTTTTAAAATGTAGTAGGCCAATAACGTAATAACCTAATACGTTATTGGCCTATTACATTTGCAAAGAACTTTTTTTTACCAGGCCAATAACATAATAACTGGCCAATAAGGTAATAAAAGTCCTGAATGGATAACTTTTGGCCAAAAACGTAATAACTTATTACGTTATTGGCTGGTTATTACATTATACAAAGAATTTTTTTTTTTTTTTCCAAAATATCAAAAGATATTCCGTTATCGGTTCAGGACTTTTATTACGTTATCGGAGAGTTATTACATTTTTGGGTGTTATTACATTATTGGCTTCTACGGCATGGTTTGCCTGAGGTCAACTCACACTCCACCTCTTGGCAGAAGTCTCTGGCAGCAGTCAAGCACTGCAGCGATGGCAACAGCTGAAGCCACCACATTGAGTTTCATATCTGCTTCTCAAGAAACATATCTGTGGCATCACAGAGGGTTTGCCCATCTTTAAATACAGTTTATGAGGCAGACATTACAAAGCTAGAGCTTGTAACCACCAGGGATGTACTAAGAGAGCTAGATATAGTGCCAGCATGCAGCCTTTCCGCCCATATCTCCCAGTGAAAATTCATTTTATTGTAACTAAAAAATATCCAGCAGCCCAGAAAGCATTTTCCCCCTGGACCACAATTTTTAAAAATACGTCCATAAAACAAAGTTGGGTTTTATTCTAATATGAATTGTTATTCCATGGAGGTTTCATATCCCCAGTGCATAGAAATATGTGTTGTTTTTTTGTGAAGTCATCTCGATGTAAAGTCTGCAGGCGTGGCTAGCTATGGAAAAAACTCTAAGAAGAAAATCTGCCACCAGATGAGTCATTTTCATTCAAGTTGCCATCGGGGTGTAATCTTTGGTGTCTTCCAATAAAAGAATTGTTGTTTTTACTCTTTTGTTTTTGTTCAATCCTCATTTAAAATATAAAGTTTTAGATTCTGTTGCAGTTGGACATAGTCAGGCTACCTGTGTCCTCTAGCTACAAGTCCTTATGCTAAGCTAAGCTAGCCATCTTGCTTTTGATCCCACAGATGTATTTTCCAAAATGTCAAACTATCCTTTAAACGTTCTAATCAGGAAAACAATACACATTTTCTTACAGTGACACACTTCTGTGGATTTATACAGTTCCACATCATTACATTACAGTGTACCGTGTTTATAGTTCACATTTCCCGACAAGATGTTCCCACCCTGTCAGAAAGATTTAAATCTGTAATCTTCTGTTTATGATTCCCATACTCCCTCCAAGCGAACTAGGGGTCACGGTGATGTGTTAAAAAGAGATGTTGATGTTGTATCTTGCACCAACACTTGGACTGAACTGAATCTATTGACAGCTTGGCGCTCGAGGCTATTTGTTCTACCTCATCCCAGCCGTCAGGTAAGAGTCGGGCCTCTGCCACGCTCTTGCCTAAACACAGCAATTATTACAAACATGGGCGACTTGTAGCTGACAGCTACACGCAGGCAGAAAATGAATGCTAATGGAATGCTGTCATTATTTACAGGTCTGGGATGCAGCCCAAGTGTTATCAGCCAACAGCGACTTTGTTTGGTACATAATAGATGTGCTATGTTTTACATGCCACTGCTCATTTTCCCCAGACCCGCAGTAACATCTCAGTCCAAAGATAACTGGCAATTTATGATTCTACTCTTTCATTTAATGAGCCGGAGGGGAGCGTTTCAAGCCACAGCATGGCCCAGGCTGAGACGCGCGCGCATCAGTACGTGCACACGTGTACGTACGTGCACATAATAGCCATCCCTCTAATATCATTAGGCTGCATAGACATCATGGTTCAGCGCCAGTTTAGATGGACGCCTGCTAATCAGTAGGCTCCGTGTATAATGTGAATGGTAATAAGGACAAGGCAGAGGATTACGTGAAGTCAAATAATCAAGATGTGTTTGTCTCATTTTTTCCCCTATCTGTATGGTTCTAACTTGATACTACAAGGAAAAACAAACCGAGACAGCGTGTGTGCATCTCTCTATGTGGTGAGATTCTTCTTGGTTTATTACATCTCAGCTCTTCTTCTGCACGAGAATTCAATAATTAAGAGGGGATTAGATATAATAGACACTTATCTCCCTGTCTGTTTCAAACACTGTTGTATACACAGTGTTGATCTCTGCCTTGGGCCAGGCTTAATGACTACAAAAAAGACGAAGGCCTGTGTTGACAATTTTGTCCGCAAGTCATTTAATGTTAATTAATGAAGACTGCGGTTTATTCTTTCAACACTGCAGCGCCCATTATGAAGCCGTGCAGCTATTTTCAGCAGTTTGCGCAAACTCAACTCTTGGAATGCAGGGAAACATTAAGCATTAAAACAATAGACGACTGTCTGCACCAGCTTGAAAACCAGCAGCCGTGCCTTTTGGAGTGACACTAGTGAAAATACTTTTGATTTTAAATTAGCGTCTCCGAAATTACCATCTTTTGTTCTAGTCGTTCCATTTTTGCAAGGAATGATCTCTGAACTGTGCCTCAAGCTGAATATTTTTCCAGTTAGATCTCACATTCTAACTTTAGAACATCTCCAACAGCAGCAGCATTGTTTTACGGTCTGAATTTGACTGAACTCACGTCAGCTTGATTCTGCATTTTGATTGCATGCATTCTAAGTAGTACCCTGCTGTCGTCTTTTCAAGACTTTCAACGTGTTGTATTTGCCTTTTCTGTGAATCGTGTGATGGTTCGTAACACGTGTGCAGGCGCCTTTACACTCGCTTATTTCTTGTACTTAAATTCATCAGCATTTAATTACCTTCTCGATTATCACTTTTGAGACACTCACACAAAAGCTGTATCTAGTCATTATTTCGGCTTGCACTCACCCACAAGCGAAAACATGTCTGCAATCATGCTGGCCTTTATCTTCAGATCCAAGGGTGCATCACTGTAAATAAGCAAAAGAAAAAACTCATATGCAGGAGTTAGAGCAAAAGAAGATACCGGTTTGTGCTTAAAATTCTTGCAGGAGAAAGAACATTTTGGTTGCATCTGCAGCCGTGGGTACGTCTTCACAAACTCCTACAAGTGCACGTGTCATTTCTCTCTATGTGGCACTTATTTTTAGCGCCCGAGCACTGTCTGGTGCAAGGACCCTCCTGAAAGTGCTCTGTTTATTATTACATTAACATATTTTTTTGTGAAAGCGCCTATTTAAAGAAAGGCCTTCGATTGAGATGGCGGGGTAACAGGAACGGTTTCAGTCAGAGATTCTCCTGAAACAACAAATAAAAGAATCAAAATAATTGAGTCACTCACCAGGCCAGGGAGGGAGAAAGGTTCACCTCTAACAACCAGGGTTTGAGGTTGGAGTCAATGAGCACATCAAAACCATAGAGTTCTGCAGAGGGAAACACAAAATGAATCAAAAGGTTTTTCGCCGCAGACGGGGAAGTCAGCAGAGACAGACGGGATTAAAAAAAAAAACTGTAAGATCTGCTCAGAGAAAACAAAGTATGAAGGGTATCAAAGTCACAAGCCTTTCCAGAGTTTTATCACAGCCCCGTAACTGCATGTGGCATTTGGCAACATGACTTACATCTTTCTGCTATTGATTACATGCATGTTATATACCCGATCACTCAAGAGACAAGCACTCAGCAGTGCCTGCTACTGAGGGATTGGCTCAATCACATTAACTAAGCGCATACACTTTTCATCGTCACAAAGCTGCTTACATAAGACGGGGAGGGTGATCAAAAACAGTGCGTGGCCGTGAAAATGTTGGTAATTTTCTCATGACTTGGAAGGTTAGAAAGTCTACACATTGTCACTCCATATTAACAAGAAGGACGGCGCTCTAATTGCTACCAGAAAAAAGCATCAGCCCCTCATGAGTGAGTATCTTGTCCAACTGGAAAAATAAATCCAGAGGTACAAAGCTGGAAATATGACGGTCCGTCCCAAGTAGCCAAACCTGGGGAATTAGAAAGCCTTAGGCAACATGCTGTATATATTTCACTCCAGTAATAGCTTCGCACTGAGTGACACAATAAAAGCCCTTTACAAAGTGGTCAGGAAGTTCCTTGTGTAAAAAAAAAAAATCATCCATTCTCTCCCAATTCTCTCTCTCTTGTTTCAGTGACTGATGTAGAGGCAGAGGCGGCCTATGTGCCATATGAAAGGCCTCGCGCTGCTCTGGGGAGTGTCACCCTATAAGCCAACGACCCGCCGGCCCCGGCAGCAGCAGCAGCGTGCAGGCAAACCACAGTATTTTACAGGGAGAGGGTAAAGCCCAGCCAAAGAGCCAGAGGAAAAATCCTTCTAATGGCACTTCAAAAGAACAGACTGTGTTGAGAATAGGCCAGGGGGGTTGGAGGTTTCAAAGCTGCCATAACCAGCAGTGTTTGTTCTAGCATCTCAGGTCAATGCCAGTGTTAAGCACACAAAAGCCAGCGTGACAGCAAGCACTGGCTTGATATTGCACGAAGTATCACACTGATAGCAGGTCTGGTTTAACAGGATGCACATTGATGAAAATAGTATATCATTAAAAACACCTTCAGTTAACTGCTAAACAAATCGTGGCCTTACCAGACATGTAGCATAAAGTGCAGATATCAACACGACTTTGCAAACAAGCAAAACTACTTGATATTTATCAGGCCCTGTCGAGAAGTTTAACTCATTTGGGGGAAAATGTAGTTCTCAAAGTCTTTAATCGGTCCTGTTTATTACTTTTGATTCATTTAAGAATGAAACGTGCTTTAATTTGAGGACAGATGTTATATTTCCTCTCTGAGAGTGATAAAAGGGTATTAGCAGCAGCTCATGTTAATACTGATTTGGCAAAAAATGACTCCCATAAACAGGCCTGTTCTGTGTTGCATGTCATTTATAGGTTATTCCCATGCAATATAAAGCCCATAAAGCTTCATTCATGTTTAGAATTAGAGTCCTGCTATTGCTGACTTGGAACAAAAAGACATCAGCATGCCATGTCTGTGAGAAACTAATTTGCTGCGGTCAAACAGACAAAAGAGGTTGAACAAAAAACTGTGTTTGAAATTAAAGGATACTTGTTTCGGCTTAAATAAGGTTATTCATCAGTGTCTGAAGAATTTATTAGACTTCATTTCAGCGCCATGTGTTATTCAGCTGGCCCAGGAGCCAGAGTTTGCATGTACAATCTGTTTAAGTGGGGACAATATTAGACATTACAAGGGATTAACATAAATTATTTAGCACAATTCATTTGTCAAAACCGACATAAAATATTACCTCACAGCGCTGTATTCATGTTCCTTGGATTTCTACATTTCCTTAAAACACTTCCCTGCATGTGTTTTTATTATTTATACTAAGAAAATGTAGATAAAGTCCACGCTGACTTTTGTTCAGCATTATTCACTGGGCTACTGTATATCACAGGTGTTGGCAGTTAAGCTCATGGTAGCATCACAGGGTACAAATTGGTGTAACTGCAAACTGTATTTATATGATGGAACCGAACCAGGTTTGCCATACGTGCACGAGCCAAAAGCTGCAACATAAGCCGCCGCTGCCATCTTTAACTTCTGGGGATGGACCGGACCCCCACTGCTAAATGGCGCTCGCTTAAGCAGAGCAGTAGGATTCTATTTTCCACTTGCTGGCTTATCCTATTTTATCCACTTCTGTAGAAAAACACACACACACACGGATCGAGACCAGAAGAAAGATGGCGAGTGTGTGTGTGTGTGTGTGTGTGTGTGTGTATCATAAAACATTACGCATTAGTCTTGGGGAGCAGAGCACTGGAATAAGTGGGTTTGAGCCTACAGTGCCTCATCAGTGGCACCACAACAACAGGGGAAAATGGGGAGGTGTTACACCACCTCACCAGCCCCCGACAAGCAGACTCCATGTGCCACAAATTTTCCCCCAATTAGGAGCAGACGCCGCTCCTGCCCCATGAGCCCGCCGAGCCGCTGTTTGTTCTGTGGCTCGACCGCTGCCGGGGGGGGTGGAGGGGGGGAGCACCTTTAAATGTGCCCGCAGAGAGCCCACAACAAGCATCACAGACAAGGAGACGAGAGGCAGCGAACATCCACATCACACCCATTAAAGAGGGAGGGAGAGAAAACACTGTGACAGAGAAAAAGGGATGATGAAGAGCTTTTTTTTTTCATATTATTGGATGGGCGCTGTTGGAAAATTCACCACAAGAGACAAACGCCCAAAAACAATGATCTCCCCACCCTGACCATGCAGCCTGTTGGTCCACAATAACAACATCAAGTATCTCCTTCATGTGTGTTTTCATCACAGGCGAGCGCAGCTGAATTAGTTTCGCATCATTCCTCGATAAATCACCGCCGCTGAGCTGTTTCGCTGCTGTTGCACAGCGGAGCAGCTTGGAGCCACAATCGTGAAAACAACAAATTAAAGTCGCAGTTAACACTCCGTTGCCTTATTGTGATAGCGGGACTCAAACCATTATTCATTCTTAAAAAGACTCAGCTACAGCAGCTACAGTTGTCATCATAGGCGTACAAACACTGTGCCGCAGTGAAGTGTGGGAGTATCTGACAAATGTAAAACAGGGAGAGTGGTTCACAGACGGGAGATCCAACCACACTCAGCACTTAATGAGGGACGTTCAGTGGAACACAGGACTAGTAAGTGGAATGTTTTGTGTGTAATAAAATAGGCCTTTGGCTTGGCTAATCAGATCTTAGTCAAAACATCTCGTAATCAGCATCTCTCAGCAAAAAAGCCTGTCCATTAATCACACGGCAGCGGTAAAGAGCTGCATGGGTGGCATTTTCTCCTCGCAGACGCACACACACACACACACTCGCGCTCACACACACTTTCTTACAATGTAAAACGAAAAATCTGTTGTTTTTATTTCTTCCCACATGAGACATTACGGAGCTATAAAAAGATTTTGTTACAGTGTGCCCATTTAGATACACCGAGCAGTTTGAGCAAAGGGAAGAAATCCCATTTGAAAACAATAAACATTGTATTAAAGCCATTAATAGACATTAAAATGGCAGGGAACAATTTGCAGTAAATTAACATTATAATGTGCTTTATGGTCTTGCATGGCTCCCTTCCAGACAAGCCAGAGACTGTATTAAAAACTCCAAACAATGGCTGCTTTTATCAGCGCATTCACTGAGCTAACACACACATGTATTTGCTGCCGTGCAGGTCTGACGTTTTACCTGTTTACTATTACGGGCAGCTGCTGAGGCCCTGAGAGAAGGCTGGTTGTGGAGTGGAAAAAGTCTAGTGAGGATAAGTGCAAGAAGGAGGAAGAAAGGAGCTGATGGCAGCTGACTGAATATGACTCCCAGGTGGTTTAAGTGGGTTTTATTTAATGGACAAGTAAAAGCCCACAAAGATACTTGACTGGACTCCCTGAAGCTTAGGCAGACCTGCATGTTTGTAAAACTCCTGCTTTACACTCGTTCCTACATGTCCCTGTATTCATAGTATACGTATGTACTCGCACACACACACACACACACACACACACAGAAGGAGTTTGCATGCAATATGACCACACTGGGAGAGACACATCAGCAGAGCGAGGATGAGGGTGGTCCTCTGGAACCGTCAGTGTCTGTCTTTGGAAACTTAATCCCGTAGACAGACTATGAATGCTGTAATTAACTCGCTTGGGGCCATCTGAAGACAACAAAATTACACTAAATTCAACAGTAAACTGATAGGGCTGAAGTAAGATAATGGGCATGTTCACGGTAGACCACAGTGTATTATGTATCTTAATCAAAAGTGTACAACCTAATTGCTTTTGTTCTGCAGGACTATGCATGAAATGGGTTTCGGTTTCTACGCGGCTCAGCCGATACGGATGTCAAACGGCCTTTAACGGGCTTGAAAGCAAAGGATGGTTTGTGTTGTTCCGTTTTATTTCAATTTTAAAGCGGACAAAGAATTTAAAAAATCCAAAATAAAAGACATCTGTAGTGTCAACAGCAGGTTTAAGCACTTTGACTGATTGCATTTCATTCCATATTTGCTCACTTTGCTTCCATACTCTTAGGTTTACACTACATATATGTATATTCTACACAATTCTGCAATATCAGATGCAGAAGTCGTGTTTATGTATGGACAGGCATGAACATTATTCAAAGCCTGGTGAAATGCAGCGCGTAAATTCCGATCGTATTGCTAAACAGTTTTATGACTGGGATACGGGGATGTGCATAAACAAATACCTAAAATACAGGCATACCTGAGTGAAAGAATGAATGAGAATAGGAACAAACTTGTTTTCCCGTTCTTGTTTTTCACTCTCACAGCAGAGATATGTGTCATCTGGCTGTTTATTCATGTCTCTCAGGTGCGTATGAGCACCAGCTTGAGGTTTGGTTAGCTGCGTTTTTCCTGTAAATACCCGCATGGTCAACAGTCACAGTCTGGGTTAATGTGGTTTTTCATCCCAGCAGTGATGCTCAGGGCGCAGATAGCATCTTTATGCGGGCGAGTGTCTGATGGCGAGTCCATGCTGCTACGCGCCCAGCGCAGCCCAAACAACCACCAAACGGAGGGGGGCTATTACGTCTAGAGAAACCTGTCAGAACTGCGAAGCCCTTTATTTTTCTAACATCTGAGAGGTGAAAGAGAGTGTGAGCAGGAGAATTATAAACAAACAGAAACAGCAAGAGAAAAGGGAAAAAGAGAGTGAAAAAGAGGCAGTGGTGCTGAGGGAGGCTCGGCCAACGTACTCGCTTTCAAACCCCAGATCTCAGAAAGACTGCCAGACACAGAGAAAGAGAGCAGACAATTAGTGCCAACACTAACATGGGTAATGGCTCCAAAATGGAGTTCACACGAGCCCGCTGCTAGGCAAGACTAGCCAAGAAAACAGTCAGCCTAAATCAGGCAGACCTGAATGGCAACAGAGTAGAGGAAGCAAATTCCTGCTTCAGTCAACAGGCCCTCCGCGACCCGGCAGCCAGTCAGAGGGCAGCACCAGGCAGGAAGGCTCCACACTGAGGAATGACTGTCTACAACCTCAGCATGGCTCAGTGGACAAATAGTATGGAGGAACTGCGAGACAATGAATCTGAAACTGAAAGGAAATGTGAGGGGTGTGGTAATGTGTATGACTAAGTGTGTGTGAGTGTGGCTGCGCCGTGAGCAAAAAAAAAAAAAAAGGCAATTTTTCCAGAGTTCAGGTTTCACTCACAACAAATTCTTGTGAAGCTACGTTTCTGACAACTTTCACTTTGTTTCCCCGAACAGCTTGTACTGATGCCCTTCACATTCGAAAGCGGCCCATCTGCAAATGCAACCTGATTCCCGAACCCGTAACTGGCTTATGCTGTAACTCTGAACGGATTTTCACCTCCAGCAGGTGTGAGCACATATGGTGGACTTGATTGTTCTAAGTGTGGTTGAGATTATTTTTGGAAGAATATGAAATGATTACCGAAGCAATTAGTCTTGTGGGGAACAAACGTCTTGCAGGCGGTGGCTATCTGCAGCTCGGCGCTCAGCACGGCTTTAATGATGAGGTCCTCGATTTGTTTCATGAGCACTGAAACAGACAAAATGGGAAGAAGTAAGTTGTTAAACAAGATTAAATATCATATTTCTCCTTTTCATGAGAATTCCTACTTGACTGGTGTTTCATAGAAGGAAAAAAACTGAGCGAGGACTGAGAAGCAAACTACAAAGTGACAAACTTCTCCTCCTATCACTGTCGAGTGGATGCAACAAAAAGAAAAGGTGAAGGTCTGACTCACATGTGGTATCCTTTCCCTCCTGCTTCAAATACCTCAACACTGCACTCATACTCCATTTGTTCCCATAATCCTCAACTTCAGGGTCATCGCAGCTGAAAAGGAAGAAAACGCACTTCAAACACTCGAGCTGTAATAAATGCATGAGTCAGTGGGTTTTCCCGTAACAGCGACGCTTTGGATGTATGTCGACCGCGGCCGGGGCTCACCTGACATAATCACTGCTCTTTTTGTTCACACTGTAGTTGGTGAGGTGCATGAATGTGTTCTTGATGTGCTTTGAAGTCTGGTCATACTTGACTGTGGCAAACCTGTGGACAAGCAGTATTTATTTATGCAAGAGGGAAGGAGAAAAACACAAGCTTAACCCACCAGCCAACGGTTTTACTACATATTTACGTGCCATAAAATCCACATGAGTGAATAACTTGACTAAATAATAAGGGCACTTTGGAGAGAGATTAGTTTCTGGTAGTGTTTGGGAGGAGTGGATGCCACATGTGCAATAATGAGAATTCCTTGGCACGCATCATGCACCTGAATACCAACACAACCAAAGGAATGTCAGGAGATAAAAGTGGGATTCAGGATTTGGCCCTGATTTATAGCTCGCAGCTGATAATGAAGCCAGCAAATAAGAGGGCAGTGGCACTGTGTTTCCAGCACGAGCACGTACCTCTATCAGAGCCAGTCATTCTATAAATCATCTAGCCTCGCCTGACCTACCTGTGTCTGATAATAGCCCGTTGTTGGTCTAATAAATTACTCCCGCCCTGAACATCCAGACCCAAATAGTGCAATTATATAAAGTCTTCGTAAGATATGATCTTTGAACAATGACACAATCAGCAATATTTGATTAGCACATCCTACGACTGAAACAATAGAGTGCTTTGTTTCAGAGTCAACAACGCTGCACACGCTACACGGCGCTTCGCTCTGAAACGTTTAGGATGCCCTCTTCTGGCCACCGACAGAACACCGGTGGATGTGTCTCAGAGAGTTCATGACGGATTTGACAGTAATCAGACGGTGTTTACTCAGAGCGCTGAGAAGATGTTAGAGGAATACAAGAAAACAGAGATTAATTACTCATAATAAACAAACAATAGAATATCTAAACTATTCAAACCCACGTGGACAATGTGTAATGATGTGATAAAAGGTCAAAACTGTTGTTATTTAATTAAAACACTTCAAAAGTCCCTCATTCTCAACAGGCTTTCATCCAGAAAGCAATGAAATTAAGCACAATTAAAGCAAAACACATTATATCATGTCTTGAAATCAGCTGATTTGCTCTAAATCTGAAAATGTTTACTCACAACAGGAAAACAACGTCCTAAAAAAATCAAGTTCATGAGGGTTCCTAGGTGTATCTGCATGTTGAACATTTGTTGAACGTTTTTGATTTTCT